AAAAAAAAAAAACAGCACATTCATTCTGATAGTTCTAAGAAAATGATAAGCGCAAAAGTAATGCATATTGAAGAAATGATTATAAACGAAGTCTCTTTTAAAGATAACAATAACCTGTTTCTAAGCAGAGATAAAAGATACTGGAAGCACAAACTAGAGAATACCAGAAACAAAGCAATTATCAACTCCATAGATGGCAAGAAAGAACGTGATGATGAAACAACAACGAACCAAAGTGCCATGATCATTCCAGCCCAGGACATATGAGATGCGGTTAGAAATTGTGAAAAGTCGTTTAAGAGATCCTGACAGATTCCAGAAAAAGGATGATTATTTTGAATAAACCAATGTAAATAAAATCTACTACATAAAACTCGTAATAGCAATTTTGATAAATACGACTTGACATAAAAAAAAACACGTATTAATTTGATAAAAACTTCAAAAATTTTCCATTATTTTACTCTCTACGAGAGGCCGAAACATTCGAAAGCGGCCTGAATAGAAGCATTTTTTTCCAACAACAAATTCTGCAGTGCATAATTTAAAGCAAAAAATAAAATCGATAAGAGGCAGTTGTTGAGTTTAACAGCTTCATAAAATTACTCGGCAGCAGATATCACTGCTCGCAGTTCGTCTTCTACGCAACTCGGTACTTCACTTCATTTCCGACTCATCGTCGTCAATTTTTGGAGCTAAATAAAAGCGCAAATATCCATCTTCACTCAGAGCGTATTCCACAACCACAGGCACATTATTGGACAGTGAAAGCCGAACCTGAAAATTAATTTTGCTAGGAAATAAAAATTTTTAGCAAAAAAAAAAATGATTCATTTTCACGCTAATAACACTAAGTATCTTGCATTATGCTCCTGGTAAAAATTAGACGACTTAATGAACCGAAACATTCCTTTTCAGTTACTACCGCACTGTATAACACTCTGTATAAATTTCTTGTACAGTTCTACGCTATCCTTCAAATCATCCTTTATCTTAACCAAACGAACTGGACGTAAATAATCTTGCTTGATTGATAAATATTTCGGTCCATTAAAATAAGGAAGGTACCAAAGCTAAGTGGTGCCGAACTTAATGGACCGAAAAGTTTTTCCTCACTTTTGCCCTCTTTTCTCATACTATTTTTTCATGCTGCAATCTACACTGCGCCTCTGCCAATTCGGCTTCAAGAGTCAACCTGGTTGCTACAAAGGGCTTACCCGTTCCGAAAGACTGGTTGCTTTCGTGAACTGATTCATGTATTTGATTGAAAAATTCACTGTTACTGGCTCCTTGACCTCAACTGCTATTGCCTGAAATTAAACATGTATTATTCAAAAATACACAGACACACACACAGACACACACTCACACACACAGACAAACACACACACATTTGCTACTGGAACAGTTCGTTCTTCAAATTATACGTTATTTAAGGAAACTGTAATTCACAGTCTGCTTCTCCATTTACAAAGCCAGCAAGCAACTTTTCCAGTTGCTTTGACCAATTCTGCATCACCTATTCGCGATCTTCTGCAGAAACTACCAGTTCTGCGACTCTTTACAAGATCTCAGTTGTCCTTTAATACGCTTGATATGTACTAAGAATTACCACCTCGTCCCAAAAAGCTGCCTAGATCATGATGAATATTCTCAATGAATATTCTCGATGAATATTCTCAGTACTGTTAACAAATCAATGCCATAGCTAGAAGCTATAGAACATAATTCCCCTCCCCTCTCCCCTCCCTTTCATCTTTTCGCTTTCTCCCTTCCTTCCCATCCTCGTCCTCATTAACATTTGCTACGAAAAAAAAACAAAGAATATCAGATTTATCACGATTCATCTTACAATAAATCGTTATTTTTATTGGAAAACCCTGATAATTCCATCATGTATCATCATGTACCAGTAAACTCTAAGGAAATATACCTGCTGATCATCATCATCTGCATCTCTTGATGGTGCATAAGTGACCGTCGATGATCCAACATCACCTTTACCGGTGAAAACCACTCCTGCTTTTGTTACTGTTATCATTAACGAATCCGAAAACATCGCTAAATCACGGCACGTTTTCTGGAACGAAGAAAAAAAATGAAGCCCTGAACGGTATAATTATGCAGTTACTGGTACCACAATAAAACCTTAATAAAGTGATAATAATAATAATGATAATGATAATAATAAAAATAACAATAACACAAATAGTGATAATAAAAATAGTAATGACGAAAATAATAGTAATACAGAGTTAAGCAAATTCCATATAAAGTCCCGATTTACTCACCCCCGCTCAGAATTTAGCCCCTACAAGAAACAAAGTACCTGAAATTCTGCTGCTGGCATTGCAACAACAGCTGAATATTCTTGCTCTGGGATACCGA